GGTATCCAACTGCAGTTGATCACAGAAGCTTATCATTTATTTTTACTATTATTTTTAATTTTATTATTTATGTATTTATTTATTTATTTTATTAGTGAATCACCATGAGCTACAGTTACAGGCGTACAATGTTTTGTGCTTGCATTTCAGTCATACAATGATTGAGTACCCGTCACTCCACCAGTGCCCATTTCCCACCACCAATGATCCCAGCATCCCTTCCACCACCCCCACCCTGGCCCTTCCACCCTACTCTGACTCTGTAGCAGGGCATTCCCTCATGTTCTCTCTCTCTCTCTCTCTCTCTCTCTCTCTCTCTCTCTCTCTCTCTCTCTCTCTCTTGGTGTTGTGGTTTGCAATAGAGGTATTAAGTGGCAATCATGTTTGGGCTATATTCTACTTTCAGCCTGTATCTCCCATCCTGAGTGGGTCCTCCTGGCACCCTTTACTTGGTGGTCCCTTCTCTGTCTGAGCTGCCTTTACCCCAGCATGTGAGGCCAACTTCCAAGCTGTGGAGTGATCCTTATGGTACTTATCTCTACTATTCTTGGGTGTTAGTCTCCCATTCTGCAAATTTATATTCCACAAATGAGTGCAATCTTTCTATGTCTGACTCTTTCTTTCTGACTCATTTCACTTAGCATGATACTTTCCATGTAGAACCACTTGTATGCAAATTCCATGACTTCATCTTTTATAACAGCTGCATAGTATTCCATTGTGTAGATGTACCTAAGTTTGTTTAACCATTCATCTGTTCTCTAACCTGAGTTTTTTCCAGATTTTGGCTATTGTAAACAGTGCTGCGATTAGGCAAGAAAAAGACATTAAGGGCATTCAGGTAGGAAAGGAAGAAATCAAGCTCTCACTATTCACAGATGATATGGTACTATATTTAGAGAACCCAAATATTTATTTTTAAACCACGCTTTAGGAACATTTTCTGAAATGTCATAGTAAACATAGGAAATAGATTTTCATCATCATTAAAATAGTAACTAATGGTGCCACTGCACATGAAGTATATAAAATACAGAAACGCCAACACTGCACTCAAATTAAATTTAAAATACTGGCAAATTTCCTCCACTTTTTTAGACTTCAGTAACTTTGGAAAGAGCTCATTAGTGTAGACTGTAAGTCAGTCTCAAAGATCTTTTGAAGATTAATATTGCAAATATATATAATATAAATGAATTTTATTTATTATTTTGTGCATAATGAAAGAGCCAGTCAAGTATGTTACCAGTCTCCAAGCTGCCCTTTTTGCTGTTGGACCATATTCCTCTTTGCTTAGGGTTTCGTCCTGACTTTGTTCTCAGGGAACACTCCTGTGGTTGTTTAGTGGATTATATTTTATACTGGGGCTTACATCAGGGTCAGCAGCATAAAAGGGAAGCACCTTTCCCCTGTACAATTTCTCCACCCCACCTACAGTGTTTAAACCACATACATATACTTGCACAAATACACAGACATACACAATTTGTAAAAATTCCTTCTACATCAAAAATACCTGCTAAGCAAATGTAATATTTCCTTTCCTGTATTGCTAGATGTTCCTGATGTCTGGACTTTGCATCAACTCCTGAAGCAGCAAATAACTTAATAAATTCTTAGACAAGGCCATCACTGTTTTCTCTTTCATTCTCTACCTGACAACTTTAGCTTACTAGTAACTCTTCTTTACTTCAAGGAGCAGTCATTCTTTGTTTTATTTTTTCATTCTTTCTTTTTTTAATTTTTTATTAATTTTATTGAATCACTGTGAGATAGTTTTAAGTTTTCTTGTTTGGGTTACATTTACACAATGATCAAACACCCATCCCTCCACCAGTGCACATTACCATCCACCAATGCTCAAGCGGGCCCAGTAACATCTCCATTGGAGACTTTGTTGTTACTGTGTTTGGCATATCGAATACTCTCGGTAGCTTGCTAGGCTCTCCGAGAGGGGCAGAGGACTCGAACTCGGGTTGGCCATGTTGGCCGCTTGTAAGGCGAACGCCCTACCCGCTGTGCTATCGCTCCAGCCCCGCTTTCCCACCCTCCCTCTGTCTCCATGGCAGATATGATTCCCATAATCTCTCTCTACTTTTGGGCATTATGGTTTGCAATACAGACCCTGAGGGATTATCATGTTTGGTCCTTTATCTACTTTCTGCACACATCTTCCATCCCGACCAATTCCTCCAGCCATCTTTTTCTTAGTGATCCCTTCTCTATTCCAGCTGCCTTCTCCCCTTTGCTCATGAGATGGGCTTCCAGCTATGGAGCAATCTATCTATCCCATGTATCTACTGTCCTTAGGTCAGCCTCATGTTATGTTGTTTTATACTCCACAAATGAGTGCAGTCCTTCTATGTCTGTCTCTCTCATTCTGACTCATTTCACTTAGCATGATACTCTCCATGTCTATCCATTTATAAGCAAAGTTCAAGACTTCATCTATCCTGACAGCTGCATAGTATTCCACTGTGTAGATGTACCAAAGATTTTTTTAAGTAGTCATCTGCTCTAGGGCACTTGGGTTGTTTCTAGATTTTGGCTATAGTTAACAGTGCTACAATGAACATATAGGTACAGATGCCATTTCTACCGTGTCTTTTTGCATCCTAGGAATATATTTCCAGAAGTGGTATTGCAGGGTCATATGGAAGCTCAATTTGTAGTTTTTGAAGGACAGTTCATATTGTTTTCCAGAAAGGCTGGACTAGTGGGCATTCCCACCAACAGTGAAAGAGTGTCCCTTTTTCCCCAAATCCACGCCAGCACTGATATTTTTCCATTCTTTCTATTGAGGCACTGTGATTTACAAAGTTGTACATGATTGAGTCCAGGCCTTCTCACAGCCCTCCAATTAGTGGCCTGTTTTAATCTGTGAAACACTCAGAAACATCTCAAACTGGGGGGAAGCTCAGAAAAAAAAAGACTCAGTATCTTTATCTACAGTTAAACATCAGCACTTGATAAATGATTTTGTTTAATATTTACTATTAATTTATAATAATCCGGGACATTTTCTTTGTGGACCATCCTTATGCTTTAGATATTTCTCTATCTTTTGTAAATTGAGACATACCTACTCTCAAGAACAAAGTTGTTTTTAATCTCCATTAGGTATATCTGTTTCAGAGAAATCACCACACCCCTCTTCATTCTTAAGTTTTCATTCCTATTAAAGTGGTTTAAACTCTTATCAGTGTTTGAACACCTTTGTTACCCTTAAGTGCATCCCTCTCCTGTTGTTTAGTTCTAAGGGCATTTTTGTAATTCACTAGAGATTGTGTGTGAGTGCATTCAAGGTAACTTTGTAGTTAGTGCAAACAGACTCTGGTCCTAGTAGATCTAGATCTATTTTTCACTTTGCCTTGTGATTTCAAATAAGTCAATTAACTCATGGTATTCTTCCTTCCTCATCTATTAATAGCATAATTTTAATATAGCTTCATATAATGACCATGATGATTAAGGGAAATTGCACCATGCTCAGTTCATGTGTAGGTCTCAGTAAATTATTGCGAGAATTTAACTGAATGTAAATGGTAATGCATTTCTGAGACTCAGGGGAAGGATTTTTTTTTTGGCTTTTTGCGTCACACCGGTACTGCACAGGGGTTACTCCTGGCTTTGTAGTCAGGAATTACTCCTGAAAGTGCTCAGGGACAAGATGGGATGCTGGGAATCGAACCAGGGTTGGCTGCATGCAAGGCAAGTGCTCTACCCACTGTACTATCACTCCAGCTCAAGAAAGGATCTTGTCACCTTCCCTATAAGGTTTTTCTTGGTAAAAGAAGAGACAATTATTTGTGGTCAATCTGCAGAGTTACAGTCATTTCAGTGATACACTTAATTTATTTATTAGCTTTTTCTTTGTGAACAAAGTCTAAGCAACAGGGATTTCAAGAAAGCAAGGACTGTGTCTTGCAAGGGTCCACCCTCCATTTGTCATTGTTCTATGTCTCATTTTCTCATATAGGACAAAGTATAGGCATCACTTCTGAGTGTTTTTAGTACTCTCTTTCCAGCCAGTGGAAAACGCTTCCTCAAAGTCCTTCCAAGTTCTCTGGCTTAAAGGAACTTTGAGAATCTGGAATTAGCATGTAACAGATTTGAATCCAACAATGACGTATTTATTTCCAAAATAATTAGTCTTGTTATTTTTTTTCTGTTTTATGTTGTGGCAATACCGCGTGGTGCTTTAGACTTTTTCCTGGGTCTGGGCTTAGAAATCCCTCCTGGCTATGTTTGTGGGACAGCTTTTGGTGCTGGGAATAAAACAAGGGTCTGCATCATGCAAGGCAAACACTTTATTTCTGTAAAGTATTTTTGGCCCATCTGTTTCATTTTTATAACCAAAGTATCTATTTGTTTTTGCCTTATAAAGTATGTCTTGAAAATAAGTTATATATATATATATACCAGTTAAAAATTGGTAGATTATAAAGTAAATACAACTTTGATAAAAAATAATTAGACTATTTGATGCTTTGAAAATCATACATTCAGTCAATTATTCTTTTTAGGCATGGGCATTTAATCAATTTATATAGTGTGCTAGATATTTGCTAATTGCTGAGACTATGTTTTAGCACAATCTTACCAAAAGGAAGTGGAAATCTAGTAGAATCACAGACTTACAAGGAAGCATTGCGCCGGACACAAGTCATTAAAATGAGAAATAAAGAGAGGGCAGATAAGTTGTCTGAGTCTTGAGGAGTGTAAATAAAGATCTCACTGAAGGATGGCTTGGTGTCAATGAAAAAAGAGTGAAGAGTCCCAGATCCACAGGCTGTGTATGTGACATATTGTGAGTTATATCACTTCATACCTGGATTTCTTCATCGGGAAATATGGAAGGAAAAAATTACTACAGGAGAAAGTATTTATCGGGATTGATAAAGAATATATGTGCTTGATGGTTGGCCTATTGTAGGGTTTTCCTAGACAAAGCAGGGGCAACCCACTGTGACTTAGAAGATTTTACTCTTGCCTTCCAGACTGAGGGATGTGGCTGGGGCACCCATGATCAGCAGTCGCACTCTTGGTCTTCACTTCCATCCCCGGAGAGGTCTACACCATCAAGTTCCAGTGATGTTTGACTACTTCCACCTATCCGTTATCTCGGTGACCATCCATGCAGCCCTGGTTGCTCTGCAGCAGCCCTTGATCAGGTAAGACGTGTCGGGGATCACTTTGCCTTATTTTATGCACTTTCACCTTAGATGTGGCCAAGGTATACAGATCTAAGACATGGGAGAGATCAGTGAAGACTTCTATGCTAAACGGTTAAGCTCTGCTTTTCAGAGAATGAAAATTGACAGAGGGAGATGCAGGACTAAAATCCCGCTCACTGTCGATCATACCTGAACACTTCTACCTTGACTTGGCTTTTTTCTTAGTTTTTTACTTAGTTTACTTTATTTGCAAACTCACAGAACATTTCTAAAGCACAATATTTATCTCTAAGACAGGATAACAGTGTAGATATAATATTTGAATGACTATCAAATAAAGATTGTATGTAGACTGAAAGCTGAGGTTCTGTTTCCTCTTCCCAGTTTGTTTATATTTACTCAAAAGTAGAACTCTCTTAGTGCCCCTATGTGCCTTTAAGTGAATTGTGGCAGAGTTTCTCCAAGGCTTCTGAACCACTGAGAACTTTTGAAATCTGTAGGGGAGAAGGGAATGCTACCAACACTTAGCATATTAAACTGTGCTGAGCTATTTTTATACGCGCATTCTGTAAGGTCAGTGAAGTGTATCAAATTACTACAAAATCATACACATCTATGTACAAGGGCACAGTGTGTACTTGCATATAAAGGGACATTTAGGGGTAGAATCTTGCAACATAGAATTTTTGAAAAGATTCCTTTCAGGGCAGTAACTCAGCGTTGGGAGTTTAAGTTCATATGCAAAGGAATTCAGACTTCTCCTTATTTTCAAATATAGTATTAATGGTTTCAATTCCACACTGGTATCAGTAGTTAGGCAATGAAATAGACAATTATGATCATGCAATGCAATGATGAGATGCTCATAGACACCTTTCAATCCCCTGTGCCCATTGAGTCCAACTGCCCCAGCACGATTGGCAAGTGAGCCTATTGACTGAAAACATTAGAAAGTGACAGTATGACATTATTATATATGGTAAAAAATATAAAAATGAATGTTAAAAATTTAAACCCTAAGATATTTCTTCCAGAGAGAAAATCTAAGGGGTTTTAAGAGACAGATGAGATGATTTTTATGTAAAATCAATGGCAAGGTATATGGAAAAGTCTGGAACAAAGCTGCATTTTACAGAGAGAAATCATATGAGAAGTTAAAATACATCATGTAGAAGGAGCCAAGAACATTAGGGCCATGAGGATTGTGATTACTGGCAAGGCATAACTCCAATCTGGTTACTGGGTTGAACCACATAGGTGCTAGTTTTCTGAGAATCTGGGACATTTTACTGCAAAACTCTGATTGAGCTCCCTAGTATCATCTAGGTCCTAAGATACAGAAGACACTGTATCAGTAAGACCATGTCATTATTGAGTATCCTTTATTTAACAGGTTCTTATTAAAGGCCTGCTGTTCTCATAGAATAGTCATAGGGGAGGCAAAATATAACCTACTGTATATTGAAAAGTATTGGAATTTACTTTTCCCTCAAGTGCAAAGTTGAGTAGGATGTGTCAATTTTCATTAATAACTTATAATTTGTCAAACACTGTCATAGAGTATGACAGAAAATGTTAAAATATCTATAGATGTACAAATCAAAGAGATCAGACTTGAACTTTGGAAGTTGCATGAGGAATTAAATCCAGGAAGTAGTGGAGTTATGATCCTGAATACAATATTCCTTTGCTATGGTGTATTTATTATGAGGCTTGGCAAACCATGGTTTCAGTCAAGTACATGATCTTCTTTCATCATTAAGCAAGATTTGATGGTAAGTGAGTAGGCCCTAGAATTAGGTGTTCTTGGAAAAATCCTAGGTAGAAAATCAAGCCAAGTATTTCTGTGCCTCTGATACTGAAGTGTTGAGAACCAACTGGAATTAGAACCATGTTACATCTAGGACCAATTTTTAATTTCTAGGAAGTATTCAATGAGTCCTCTAACTTCTAAGAACATATATTATTCATGTATATATGTATGTTGACACATAAACACACACTATATATATAGAAGCTAAAGCGATAGCACAGACGTAGGGCATTTGCCTTGCATGTGACCGGCCTGGCTCAGCCAGGTTCGATTCCTCTGCTCCTCTCGGAGAGCCTGGCAAGCTACCAAGAGTATCTTGCCCGCACGACAAAGCCTGGCAAGCTACCCGTGATGTGTTCAATATGCCAAAAACAGTAACAACAAGTATCAAAATGGAGACGTTACTGGGCCCGCTTAAGCAAATTGATGAACAACGGGAGGACAGTGCTACAGTACTATATATTACAAATTAATGGTAGAAGTACACCAACAAAGATAATGTGAGGATTCATTGAGATGAAGAATATAGTCTATATATATATATATATTTGGTGAGAATTGGGTGTCTAATAGAAGAGGAGACTAAGCTTTAGTCTAAAGTTTAGTCTCTTCTCCTAAAAGCTCAAGCTAGAAAACTCATACATACGAACCCTGAAAGGCTTAGTCTAGTAGGGAATAAATAAAAAAAAGTTGTAAATTCTGATGCATTGTACACATTCTCCTGGAAACGGGATGCAGGATCAGGGTTAAAGGTGTGGGCTCTGATTATCCTGTTTTCTAAGTCCGTTAGACTGAGCATATAAATTAAGATTTCTGAGCCTTTAATAGAGTACATAATTAATGGTTGGTAAAGGGGTTAAATGAAATATTTTCATATAACCTGGCTCATGCAATCAGTTTTAATTAACGCCTCCTATCCCATGCTCTTTTCTTAGCCTCTGATATAGCACATACTACTCACTAAATAATTTTAATTATGGGAGAAAGAAGCAGTTCTGTTTAAGTAAAACCAGGGGAAAGTTTATAGAAGAAATAACTTTTTGAGCTCGACTCAAAGATAAGTGATTGTGACAATGATAATTACATTGGGGGATGAATTAGACTCATATTTAGCAGTGTGTGTAACTAAGTTTGTTTGAGGCCCACATCTGGCTATTAATGGGACTTACTCCCCGCTTTCTACACAGAGACCACTCCCAGCATTTCTCAGGGACCATATGTGGTGCTGTGATTGAACCTGGTTCTGCCGTGTGCAAAGCAAGCACTCTGCCTGCTATTCGATCTCTCTGGCCTCGAATCTGGAAATTCTTAATATAAGCTTCCTTTAGAAGTAATCTTTTGTACATCTGTCTGCAGCAACCCTGCCAGAGAGGAGCAAAATTAGAAATTAAGAATCTGAACTTGGGTCTCCCTGGTATGGAGATAAAAATAGTCCTGTCTTCTGTGCTCTGAATTTTGCAGGAAGAATTTCTTAGTTCCCAGTGACTAGAAACAATGGGAATTCTTTAAAGCTTAAAGCTATAGGAAATACCCACCAACTAAGGAAGCTGTAGTTTTCTAGAAAAGTGGGTTTTATGATATCACTTAAATCCAATGTACAAAAAGCTGGTATGAAATTTAACTTTATCCTTCCCCATCCTGAAACAGAGTTAAAAAAAGAAATCTAATTTTTTTTTAGTGGAACACCATGAGATACAGTTGTAGATTTACAATGTTTTGTGTTTGTGTTTCGATTATACAATGACCAAGTACCCATCCCTCCACCAGTGCCCATTTTCCACCACCATGGATCCCGGTATCCCTCCTAGACCCATCCCCCATCCCACCTGCCTCTGGGGCAGGGCATTCCCTTTTGTACTCTCTCTCCTTTTGGGTGCTGTGGTCTGCAAAAGAGGCATTGAGTGGCAATCATATTCAGTCCATAGTCTACTTTAAACACGTATCTCCCCTCCTGGGAGGATCCTCCAAACACCCTTTATTTGGTGCTCCCTTCTCTATCTGAGCTGCCTTTTCCCCTAGAGGGCCGGTTGGCCTCTAAGCCATGGAGTAATCCTCCTGGTACTGATCATGGCTATTCTTGGGTATTAATCTCCTATTTTGTTACTTTATGTCCCCCAGATGAATGCAATCTTTTTATGTCTCTCCCTCTCTTTCTGACTCATTTCACTTAGCATGATACTTTCCATGTGGTACCACATGTATGTAAAATTCATGACTTCATCTTTTCTAACAGCTACATAGTACTCCATTGTGTAGATGTACCAAAGTTTCTTTAACCAGTCATCTGTTCTCGGGCACTCAGGTTTTTTCCAGATGTTGGTTATTGTAAAGAGTGCTGCAATGAACAAACAAGTGCAGATGTCACTTCGAACATACATCTTTGCCTCTCTGGGATATATTCCCAGGAGTGCTATTGCTGGGTCAAATGGGAGTCAATTTCTAATTTCTTGAGAATGGTCCATACTGTTTTCCAAAAGGGCTGAACCAGTCGGTATTCCCACCAGCAGTGAAGGAGTGCCCCTTTCTCACCACATCCACGCCAGTACGGTTGCTTTTGTTCTTTTGGATGTGGGCCAGTCTCTGAGGTGTGAGATGGTATATCATTGTGGTTTTGATCTGCATCTCCCTGATAATTAATGATGCAGAGCATTTTCTCATGTGCTTTTTTGCCATTCAGATTTCTTCTTTGAGAAAGTTTCTGTTCATTTCATTGCCCCATTTTTTATGGGGTTGGTTGTTCTCTTCTTGTGGAGTTCAACCAGTACTTTATATATCCTTGATATCAACCCCTTGTCAGGTGTGTATTCAGCTAATATCCTTTCCCATTCTGTAGACTATCTTTGTATTTTGGTCACTGTTTCTTTGGAGGTGCAGAAGCTTCTTAGTTTAAGATAGTCCCATTTATCTATCTCTGTTTTCACTTGCTCGGCCAGTGGTGTGACATCTTTGAAGATACCATTAGCTTCAACGTCATGGAGGGTTTTGCCAACTTTGTCTTCAGTGTACCTTATGGTTTCTAGTCTGATGTTGAGGTCTTTAATCCATTTTGATCTCACTTTTGTACATGGTGTTAGGCAGAGTTCTGAGCCCATTTTTTTTGCATGTAGCCGTCCAGTGATGCCAGCACCATTTGTTAAAGAGGCTTTCCTTATTCCACTTCACATTTCTTGCACCTTTATCAAAGATTAGATGATCATATGATTGAGGGGAGATGTCAGTGTATTCAACCCTGTTCCATTGTTTTACAACTCTGCATTTGTTCCAGTACTATGCTGTTTTAATCATTACTGATTTGTAGTAGAGTTTGAAGCTAGGGAGATTGATTCCTCTCTTTTTGTTTTTCCCTAGAATTGCTTTAGTTATTTGTGGGGACTTATTGTTCTATATGAATTTCAGGAGTGTTTGCTCCATTTCTTTGAAGAATGTCATGGGTATCCTTATAGGGATTGCATTGAATTTGTACAATGCTTTGGGAAGTATTGCCATTTTGACAATGTTAAGTCTCCTGACCCATGAGTAGGCGATATCTTTCCATTTCCTCATGTCCTCTTTTATTTCCTGAAGTAGTGTTTTGTAGTTTTCTTTGTATAGGTCCTTTACTTCCTTAGTTAAGCTGATTCCTAGGTACTTGATTTTCTGGAGAACAATTGTGAACGAGTTTGTTTTTTTCATGTCATTTTCTTCTCTCTCACTGTTTGCGTATAGAAAAGCCATGGGCTTTTGTGTATTGACGAAATCTAATTTTTAACCTTCAAATAAATCTAACAGAATTTCTCTTAAGATATTAATATCCATCTGAATTATTAATCAATTTCAAACTTAAATAAAAAGATATTCTCATTACTAATTTTCAGTCTATATCCTGAAATGTATCATGAACCTCTCTATTCTCACAATCTATAATTATTTGGAATTGCCCCTTTCATCCTTGTTCTAGTTAAACAAGATTTTCTTCAGCTCTGAAATCAAACCCAATCAGAATAGTGATTATATTATCCTTGAATTTTGGCTTTATTCTTAGTGGCTATATTAAAAAAGCAATTTGAGTTTATTATGTTGTGATTTCATTGAAAATGATCACTGACATTATTACTACTACTTGCCAGTTACTCTTTTTCAAGGTATTTCCAACTAATTTCACTGAATCCTCATAACCCACATTGAAAGAATTAATATCAGTCTTTTTAGCATATGAGGGAAAAGAGGTACCAGGAGCTTAAAAATTTCTCCATGTCACAGAGTTTATCGGAGTTGCCCTGGTGGCAAGGTGGGAGATGAATCTTGGAAAATAGAACTTTTTGTGTCTCTGAACCATTTATCCATATTCCTCTTGCTTTTTCCTGAAATCTTTCATCTCATTCATAGTCTATAAAATATTTATGTCAGTCTATTTAATAGACAAAAGTAAGTGTAATTATAATTTTATGATATATCAATGGACAAAAATCACAGAGGTAATTAGTAAAAAGAGGTTACAAAAAATTCAAGGACGATGAATCAATATTATGAATCTTTCTAAATTTATTATTTTATAATTTAGGTAACTGAAGTTAAAGTTTATTGGGTCAAAGTACAGTTTTCTACAACTACTCACTACCAAGGTGCTCAGAAGTGTTCCTGTGTCAACTCTAGTCTTATCTTTTTTGCCCACTATCTCCTTCTACCACTGATTTATACATTTGAATTTGTATTACAAGTCCAAGTCGTTGCCAGGGAATAGAAAGTATCAATTGATGTCATTGTTCTTTTGATAGCTTATAATGTGGACAGGATCTGAATAGGTACTAAACAGATGAGCATTTACCCAAGTAGCATTGCCATGATAGTATTAGATATGAAAATACCAAGATCTTATTAGACTTTTGCATAGGTAAGCGTTCCGGAACTTATAATACTTTTCCATAGGTAAGCGAGGTAATATTAATTTCACATAAGAACACATAGAGGCTCAAGGGGAGACAGGGATTCAGGAAGCTGAATCTTGACTGTGCCCCTGTAAGAGAAGAGGCAGGATTCACACCATGATAAATTCAGCCTTTGTTCTTGGCAAGAGGACAATTCTGCTGATGATCCTCCCGTCGAGGCTATTGTGTCAAGGTCTCTCAGTGTGTTATTGGCACCGAGGTGCATATTTTTGGAAATGCATTGGATGTTGTCATGTTTGGCTTCCAAGATCATATGCCAGTTTTGTCACTTTTATTACAAAAAAAAGCCCCACCTAAAATTTTCAGGAATATGAACTACTTCTTTACTATGATAACTCATATGGTGCCTGGTAACATCCCCCATGTGACCAAATTAATAACAGCACCCTCACTTCCCAACCTTTAATCCTACTTTAATTTCCTTCTTTTCAGTTTTACTCGTCCAAGAAGAGGCTCCTGGCTTGGTAAAGGTGGCTCAGACTTGGGACCAGAACAATCTAGCCTTTCTTTGGAGAATCTGGTCTTTGGAGCTGGATACTGCAAGCCAACATCTTCAGAGGTAATCTCTGCATGAGAAAAGGGCACCAAGATATAAAGATTTTCCTTGTAGGGTATATGTGTGCTGAGAATTTTTTTCCTCAAATACTTCATTTAGAGATTCTTTAACATGTGTGTCCCTTATCTAGTTATCCAATTTTTTCTATCTGCCTCTAATGTGATTAAGCAGGCCCTTAGATACATAGAATACAGTTCCTTTAAGATTTAGTTTGATGAGAAATATGATTCACTGAAGGTCCTGGAGGATGTTGAGAGACTTGTTTGTTCAGCACGGTATCCTTTAAAACATACTATAGTTAGGGTGGCTTCAAAACCTCTCTCTCTTTCACTCTCTCTCCTCTTTCAATAAATGAATGTAAATTTCTCATGGGGAAGTATGTAATTTCAGTACTATGATTGGTGGAAAGTGCCCAATCTAGTACCTGATACTCAATAAACACTCGATGAGAATGCATGCTTTTTGCCCTTCCTTTAGTTATCTTCTCCAGTAACATGAAACATCAATCTTGTGCTATGTCTAGAGTTTTATTCAACATGAAATTACTCAGTTCATATATAGAGAGATCCAATCTATTATTTGCTTTTATTAGGTACTAACTAAGAAATTGTTAGCATTTGCGGCCACACGGCATCTTATTATCTCGTTTTTACTTTGGAGAACCCGGCAGGCTACCAAAAGTATCCTGCTCGCATGGCAGAGTCTGGCAAACTTCCTGTGTCATACTCAATATGCCAAATACCAGTAACAATGATAGGTCTCATTCTCCTAGCCCTGAAAGAGCATTGAATATGGCTCTTTTAAAAATCTCAGGGTTAGGAAGAAGGAGACGTTACTGGTGCCTGCTCAAGGCAATCGACGAACAACAGGATGATCGTGATTGTGAACTAAGAAATAACAAATTCATGTTATTCTGGGTTTATCAGATAAATTGACAAAGAAGTTTTGATTGATTGAATGATTTTATATAGATTATTACAGATATAGATGACATGTGTATATATGTATTATTTTATATATTTATACTTATAATTGATCTCGAACATCATGAATTTTACATTAATTACATTCAGCTCTTTTTAGCTCTTTTTCTCCCCTCCTCTTCCAGAGCCTACTCAACATGAAGATAACAACCGTGATGCTCTGCTACTGTATTTTGTTAAACATTTATTTTTTTACTTAGCTTACTTTATTTTAGAATATAGCACAATACCAATACCAGAAAGAATACATATTAACTCTATATGTTGTTGGCAGGTCTTCTAGTCAACAGAAGGCATGGCATAATTAGGAACTAATTACTAATTAGTTAGGGTAATTAACTTGAATTTTGTACATCAAAGTGTGCTGTAGTTTTCAACTTCTCTCAGGAACATCATTAACTCTTATGTAGTTTAAGGATTGGAGATTATATACATGTTAGATAAATAGACATAGATATTAATTATAAGGATTCAGCTCATGTAAGTCTGGAAACCAATGAGTCTGACAGTCTGTAATCTGCAAGTTGGAAACCTAGGAGGGAGAGTTATATAAATTCGAGCCTGAGTCTGAATTTTAAGACAGGAAGAAACTTATATCCCAGTTTTAAGACAAGTCCAGAGGGAAAATTTTCTCCTATTTAGTTTTGTTCTTTCCAGGACCTCAATGTAGTGTAAGATGCTTACCCAAGTGAGAAGAGCAGTTTGCTCTGTCCAGTGTCTTAATTTAAAGGTTAATCTCACCCAGACTCACTGTCATAGACACACCATAGTACTGTTTGACTAATAATCTGGGCACTTTGTGTTAATTTGACACTGATATTAACCATTACAGACCTGGCAGTATAAGTGGGAAAGGTTGTCTGTACTCAAGTAGTCTCCAAAGGAGGATCTTGCATCTTCTAGTGAGCTTTATCCCCACCAAAATGGTCCACAGAGTCATTATCTGCAGTGGACTAGTGTTTCTATGACTTCTACTTTCCATGCTCTGAGCTCCAGTCAGGAATATGTCCTCCAGTACTGCCTATGTTTGGCCTCTATCAGGTCTCAGTTGCTGTGTTATGTATTTTGTGGGAGTTGCTAATAATTGCTGCTGATACCCCCAAAAATATTAGGGAAGAAAAGGACATGATACCTGAATGTATGGCAGGGGCTTGTACCAAAAAATTAAACAGAATTTAGTGTAACTTAAAATTAATTGAGAGATGTGTTCCAGTGACTTTTCAATGAAGAGATAGAACAACTGCAGAGTCTTCAGGTTTTTAGAGACAAGACAGTCCCTGACTGTACCAAGTTACTAAAAGCAGAAAGATAGTCAAACAAAGCTGATGGGTGATTTTTTTATTACCTTGTGCCCATGAATGGCTTTGGGACTTTGACATGGGAGTGGGAATGGATAGAAATCAAGACCTACTGGGGCCAGAGAGATATCAAGGATTTAAGTCTTGCATATGGCCATCTGTGTCTCAGTTAAAACCACACATATGATCACTGAGCACTGCGAAGAACGATAACTAAATTCAGAAAGAGGAGAAATCCCTGTGCACAACAAGGTGTGGCTCCAAATTCCCTCCCAAATAAATAAATAGAAGTTACAGACTTGAGCTCCCTCTGTAAAGGAAAAACAAACATGGACTCCTCGTCAACAGATAATGCCCTGTACATTCCCTACATTACTCTGACACTTTTGCTGTGCGACCATTCCTTGGCAGTCTCCCTGTAGGCCCACTGAAACCTTTGTTATGACCATATCATAGATTTGTTTCATTTCTCCCCATCAACCATACCTTGTTTGCTGGACTCAGAAGACTTCTCAGTAGATTCCTGATTTGAAACTATCCTGCTTAGATCAGGTTTTCCAAGTAATGTGGCATGGGCGTTAGAGAATATAAGAGATTACAGGTTAATTAAAACTGTTTCAACTTTTATCCCTTTGTTGGTGCCACAAGAGCACATTTGCTTGATTATGGTATGATGTTTTTTTCTGAAGGAGCTCTAAAGTATGTGTGGCTCCTGATGCATTCTACAAGTTTTCATTAATAGGCCACCACATCTGTGAAGCTGTTTCTGAGTTCTTAAGAAGATATTCTTGTTCTTATATGCTTTATCTGCTGTCAAGTGTCAGCTCAGCATCTCTATTTTTCCTCCATTGGTCTCTAATAGGTAATAGATGGGGGATCTCATTGACTGTACACTGCCATGCCAAGAAGCCTGCCTGGTTCACATAATACATGCTCAAGAAACGTATGCTGAGTTAGTGATATCTATCTATCTATCTATCTATCTATCTGTCTATCTATCTATCTACACACACATACATACACACATATATAATGTACACACATAACACAGATATATATATATATATATATATAGTGTGTGTGTGTGTGTGTGTGTGTGTATGTGTGTGCAACTATGACTGGCACAGAGAACCATCGGTGGTAGAAGTAGATTACTGGCAATTCCATTGATATGCAAGTTTCATGCACTGTATTGCTAGGAATGTCTTAAAATCCCTAGATCTGAGCCTGAGTTAATGTTGGTAAGGACATTTTAGATCAGCTAAGCCCCCTGATTCTATGATGTTTAAGGAAGAATGATCCAACCAAGTCTTCACCTCTGAGACTGTTGTGAAGCAGAACAGAGAAAATTTTGGTTTCAAATACCTGCTGTAATATGTACTATGTGACTTGAGAGAACTTATTCACGTGTGTGAAAATGAAAGTTTCTCAAATATAAAATGTGAAAATGTCTATTTTTAGGGGAGCATTTTAGAAGTTAATACGTTTTTTAAAGTACAGAAATAGAATCATAGCAAGGAGATGATATAGTTTTATTTTTTCTTTTCTTGGCAACTTTGGGGATGAGTATCAAAGAAAACATCCCTGTCATTTATCAGAGTCAGATAAGTTGACTTATTTGTCAGTGCTTAGAATTGGACTTGCTCACAGATCTCAGCTCAATGGGTTATTTTGTGGGACCTGATTCTTTTTCTGTGCATTTTTCACTTGGACCCCATCCAATTATGCAGGCTTAGTGCTACTCAGCCACCCTGTGCCTCTCACCAGGCAAGGACTGCCAAGCAAAGGATAAAATCCATTCCCTCACCCACCCTGTGTCTTCTCACCAGGAAAGAGCTGCCAAGCAAAGGATAAAATCTATTCCTTCTGCTTTTCTTGAGAATTGTGCATCCAACTCTCCCTCTCAATCCCCAGAATCCCAGTGCATTAGTAAATAATAGCAGAATCCACACAAATTGTAGCATCAATTGGATGGATATTTCCTTCAAAATAAGCCTTTTCATACAGAGACATTTGGAAAAAAACAGTTTAATAGAAAAATTAACTGATGGTCATAACAAATTGTAACAGTTGATCTTGCAACTCATCGTGCTATCCTGTAAACCAGGCTCTTTGCCCTGTAGCACATTATTGCCGCTAGCTGAAGACCTAAATTTGGAGGGGTAGTTCATATTTTTTGTTGTTGTTGTTGATTTACAATTTTGTGTAATTTTAGGAAATTTTTTTTTTATAATTTATTTCTTTATTGAATCACTGTGGGAAAAGTTACAGAGCTTTCGGGTTTAGGTCTCAGTCATGTAAATATCAAACACATTTCCCTTTACCAATACTTATTTTTAACCGCGAACCCCAATAGAACCCCACCTCCCACCCCTCCCAATTCCTGTGAGGCAGTTGAGTTCTAGTTAATACTCTATCTACTTTGACTAGATACATTGTTTCGATAGAAGATGCACAATTATTGTTTAGGGTTTATGACCCCAACCCCCAATCAGACATGCTGAAACAGCGTTGTGATATGATTTGCTTTCTACAACTTGGTTTAAGAATAAAATGATGTCGCACGGCCGCTATTGTGGCCGCACTGTTTTGGATTTCTGCTATTTTACTTATTAACCCTGGAAGAATTTCTATTAAAAGTTAGATAGTTAAGAGATTGGTTTCTGTGCTCTGGAGTCGTGGCCATGCCGGAGAGCCGCTCGTGGGGGGCAGCTGGCGACCT